CTTCGTTGTTGTCGGCGTAGAAGGCGAGCCGTTCGCGTTCTCGTCGTGGCGCTGGTCGCTGCTGATCCATATCCCGTTGTTCGACGAGAAGGGTGGCGCAAAAGGCGGCCTCCGAGATGACCCCTTGCTGTCGGAGGAGCGCCTTGCAGGGCCGCCACTCTGGGCCAAGCCCTTGAAGCACAATGTTCACGAAGATTTCATCGGAAATCGAGCTTCCCAACTTCACGATTTGATCGCGAAGGCTCCGACAGCGGTTGATGTAGCTGTTGACCTTCTCCCCTGAGGTAATCTTAGTTTCCAGTAGTTGGTGGAGTAGTCGGCTCGAGGAGACGGAGTCCTTGGGCTGATACACGCCGTTCAGGTGGCGCCAAGTGTCGAGGGTTGGGGCAGTAGATGTCTTGTATGAACGAATGTTCAGCTGCTCCGCCGGCAACATGTTACGCAGAAGAATCCCGTACGCCATCAGGGACTCGTTATAATAGTGAGTCCTTGCGTCGTCGGTGTCCTCAGCATGTCCCGAGTAGTTCCCGTCGAAATAATGATAAATCTGCGTGTTTTGCAGCAGCAGCTCCAGCTCGAAGCTCTAGGTGTAAAATTCTCTGCCGTCAAAGCACACACTTGTCTTTATTTTTTATATGCTCAAAAACATTGATTGCGCAGAGAGAATTGCTTCATCGCTGGGATAGGGAGTCTTGTGTCAGAGGTCCACTGGTGATCCCCGATTGATCTTAGGGAACGGTTACAGGCTCGTTGTCCTTGGGGGTTATGGGCGCTCTGACCCGCTACTTAAACAAGCCCTTTTGTCCCAATGGTCTAGTGGTTGGGATTTTGACATGGTATCAGAGCGAAGGTCTCGGGTTCGAATCCAATGTGTGCACTTCGGGCATCCCAGTGCGGGGGGGGGTGTCAGAGGTCCACAGGTGATCCCCGATTGATCCTAGGGAAGGGTTACAGGCTCGTTGTCCTGGGGGGTTATGGGCGCACTGACCCGCTACTTAACAAGCCCTTTTATCCCAATGGTCTAGTGGTTGGGATTCCGACATCTTGGGGGTTGAGCCGTTCGTATCTAGGGAGAAGCCTTGCGGGGCGGAGTTTTGGCCGTTTGGGGCCGGTTGAGTGGGTTGGGAAGAAGTTCCCGCATCGCCATTTCCGCAATGTCTGGAGCCCTTGCTCCATGCTCGTGAGTCGCTAAAGTAGTTGTGCGAGGACGGCGAAGGGAATCGTCGTCGTTTCCTCGTTTGTCGCAGCCAGGTTGGGCTGCGCTTCAACCGTCAGATTTGTCTGACCTCCAGATCCTCCGGCCATTCTTATACGTAATCGTGTGCCGGACGCCACTTTCCGAATGTCGCAAACTTCGTAGATGGCGGTGCGAAGGATTCCTGAGTCGCTCTGATACCATGCTGCGATCAGAAGTTGATCGTGGCCTAGGGTCTACTCAGGAAGGTTCGCACGCAGAGAAGTGGTGTTGGTGGGCCCGTGACCTCAATAGCAGAGTGAATATAAATGCTTGAGATGATTAGACATGAAAATACAACGATATAAATAAGAGTACAGGGGAATATGAATCCACCTAGCTAGCCATATACTCTAATGGGTACATTCCCTTATTAAAATACATTCCCAACAGTGTGGCGCGAACGGTTACGAAACTGTTCCCGCCGAAACCATCCTGCCTGCAGCTGCCTGATGTTGTCTGCTCCGACGGTTCAGATGCGTTCCAACCGTCTGACGCTTCGCGTTCATTCGCGATACTGCGTGCTTCTCTTAGCTGCGGTGAGGAGTGCACAGTAATGTTCAAGTATTACTATTTGTAACATGCAGTAGTGCTTTTAGTAATTATCCATGCGTTCTGGATCTGATGGAAGAATGCCTTGGCACCTAATGGAAGTTATCATACAGGCGTTTTATTTGAGGTCTACACAAAATGATTTTCATAGGGAAACACGAGGTACACGATGGTGATATGTAGCGACCTCGATTTCTCCCCATTGACTCAATCTCGACTCTACCGGGGGAACCCCAAAAGCAGATCTCCGGAAGCGATCTTCCCCAACCACCATCGTTCCGTTACTCAGGGAATGTCGTCCGCAGGTTTGACTGTGGTTCAGTAGGTTTGAGCACGGCGAGAATGCTGTTTCCACTCATTACCGTTGGTGACCGGAACGCATCGTTTCGAAACCTTGCTGACGCCCCTTTCCAGGAATACAATCCATTTTCCCGTTTATACTGCCCTCCACCCTCCTGCTTCGACATTCCGCCATCTCTTCCGTCTCTTCCTGCTGAACCTACTCTGCATCTGCAGCGGCTCCGCCACTGCTGTTCCTCCTGCTTCCCTCGCATCCCTAGGTTGGCAAGTTAGTAGATCCTAGATCTGTGGTCACCATCTCCTTGGTCGATTACTGAGTAGGTGGTCGTTGGTTTCCCGCTTGACGGACGCCTAATTTGTCGCGATGGATTCCCATCGCGTACTTGCGCTTCTTGCGATCGCGTTGTTTCTGCAGTGTTGCGCAGCTACAGAATACACTCACAAGGTGAGATGAGGTGTAGATCGAATAACGCGATCTGATCAAGACGGAATTCAGAACGTCGCATTCTAAGGACCTTCTAGATCACCAGAATCGATTGATGTAAGCTTGACCGTACGATTTGGATCTTATTATTTGCAGTACACGGTCGGAGATCCAGTAAGGCCTTTGGGTGAACAAGGTCGGTCCGTACAACAATCCGCAAGAAACGTACAACTACTATGAGCTGCCATTCTGCAAGCCTCAAGCTTCGAAGCGTGCCGAGCATAAATGGGGTGGCTTGGGAGAGGTGCTTCAGGGAAACGAGCTTATTGACTCACAGATGGAGTTCAAGTTCCGAAGTACGCCAGTCAGCTTACTGCTTCTATATCATGCTAGTGATTTTTTTCCGACGTACTAATGGGGGATTTTCTGTTCGCCAGTGGACATGCCGAAGCGGACCATTTGTTCGGACACTCTGAAAGAGGATACCGCAAAGAAGTTTAAGTATTCTATTGAGAACCACTATTGGTACGAGCTCTTCATGGGTAAGTTAACGTCTCCAGAAGTTGATTTCAGTTCCGTTCTTCCGTTTCTCAAGCCGCTTGTTCGTAACCTAATTTTGATATCGTTGTTCCGTTATGTTTGTTTTCGTTCCGGTTTCTGTGCTGGTGCAGATGACCTGCCGATCTGGGGTAAGTTTTTCTTAACAATCAGCACATTCTTTGAATGCTGCATAATGACATAAATTTCATTGCCTGACGGATGCGGATTCTTTCTGTGAAATCAGGATTTGTTGGAGAATCGGTCCCTCCTGCTACTGAGAAGGCCGACGGTGCGTCGACAGCGGAAGAGCAGATTTTTATCTACACCCACAAGAGCTTCGACATTAACTACAATGGCGATCAAGTACGAGTTTCGCCATTATTTCGCCATTGTCAAATCCTACCAATTTCGCCATAATTCATCACTGTCATCATATCATGCAAAGCCTCGTGAGGTGTTCGTTTCACGTCTGAAATCGAGAGTAATCCGATAACCCGAGCGTCATCCCGTGCATTATTTTAGCATATTCGATTTCACAAATCTGTAATATCGCGCATGGCAGATCATTCAAGTGAACCTGACGTCGGAGTCGCCTCGTCCTGGTGACACCCGGAACGAACTTGGAGTTCACGTACTCCGTCAAGTGGGAGCAGACGGACATTCCTTTCCGCAAGCGCTTTGACCGCTACCTGGACTACAACTTCTTCGAGCACCAGGTGCGGATTCTTGCTCCTTTGTTGACGATCTTTGCGTGAGCGGTCTGTCGTCGCTTTTCGCCACGCGTCCTTTGTTCGATGTTTCCTCCCTCTCCAGATTGGTTATTCCCCCACTTCTCTCCAACCTCACCCCCCCCCCCCTCCCCTTTTCCCCCCACCTCCCCCTCCCCCCTTTCACCCCCTTTTCCCCTTTCCCCCTCCTCCTTCCCCAATCCGTTCTCACCCCTTGATTCCTACGCGTCTTTTTCCCGTTCGCCTCCATCTCTTCTCCCTGTCGTAGAGCGAGTCTACTGCAATCTCACCTTTCGTCCGACCTGATAACCCGTCGCATTCTGACCTCCTGTTATGACGCCATGTATCATAACGTTCCCTTCCGTCTTGTTCTGCCTTCTTCTCCGTCTATTTTTTCCGCCTTTCCCTCTTCCCCCCCTCCTCTCCCCACCCGACGCCGCCCTCCCGCTATCATCCTGCCTTCCCCTTAACCTTCCCCGTTTTCCTCCCCACCCTCAAACAACCCCTTCTTCTCTTCTCCCCCCCCCCCCCCCCCCCCACCCAGCACCCCTCCCCCCTTTCATTCCCCCCCCCCCCCCCCAACCCCCGCCTCTCCCTCTCTCCCCCCCATTTCCCCCCTTTCCCCGCCATCCTCCCGTTGTCCCCCTTTTCTGCTGTTGCAGATCCACTGGTTCTCCATCTTCAATTCGTTCATGATGGTCATCTTCCTCACGGGCCTCGTCTCCATGATTCTCATGCGCACGCTGCGCAACGACTACGCCAAGTACGCCCGGAGGAGGACGACCTTGAGACGCTGGTACGTATCGTGGTTGCGTTGCTACGCGCCGATATCAAGACTGAAGAAGGAAGAATTTCAGGCGTCCTTTGTGAAACGATTACGCCAAGTACCTCAGGGAGGCAGAATTTCATGAAATTGTGGCGTATGGCGTGACAGCGTGAACGATGCGTGCTGTGTTAATGCTGGCACATGTCAGTCCTGAATTGACTTGTACCGCGAGCAGTGGTGACGCTTAACCCTCGCTACTCGCTCAGAGTCACAGAAATATAACGTCAGGCGAGCATATGTGCCCTTACGGTTTGTTGCTGGGGGGTATGAGAGATGTGAACGAAGTTGTAGCCCGTGCCAGAACGCCACTGATTTCGATCCGCATTTTCTGCTGCAATTGTTTTTTTCAGGAGAGGGACGTGAGCGAGGAGTCAGGCTGGAAGCTGGTGCACGGAGATGTGTTTCCGGCCGCCCCGCAACCTCGTGCTGCTGTCCGCGCTGGTGGGCACGGGCGCGCAGCTGGCGCTGCTGGTGTTCTTCGTCATCATCATCGCCATCGTGGGCATGCTCTATGTGGGCCGAGGCACCATTGCCACTGCCTTCATCATCTGCTACGCGCTCACGTCCTTTGTTGGCGGATATGTCAGCGGCGGATTCTACTCCAGAAACGCAGGTATTGTAGGGCTATCGAGTTATGCGAAAGGCGGGTTTTACTTAAAACACAGCGGTAGTGTAGTTGCCGATTTAGGTCACGACACGGTGGTACTGAGGGAATGGCTGCTGTGCGGGTGCCGCCCTAGCTCTGAACGCGTGATCATGATCGCGATCGTTGACAGTCGGCCGATGCACATCTGCTACGCGCTCACATCCTTCGTTGGCGTATACGTCAGCTGCAAATGTTACCCCAGAAATGCAGTTATAATGATAGATACACATACGACGTTAATATAGCAAATGGTCGCAGTTGGGGTCAATTGACTGTCATGGCGTGGCGTATGTGAGGAATTGCTGCAGTTCCAAGTACAGCTGTAGGACAGGGAGAGTGTTAACTTCGTATGCAACCATAATCCGGAGTACGGATTTAGGCAGTGTACAAGTCAAATCAGGATACCCCTTCACCTGGGTTAGGACTTTGGCAGGGTTACCACATCATTGGGTGCAGAAGCGTAGCGGGCTTATCGCCTTATGTTGTGTCCGGATTTGCCTAGCAGATGGATCATACAGGGCTGAATGGCAGCAGTGTAGGGTTGGGTGGTGTTTTAGGGTTGTCGGAGGCACAGCGTGATGTGCTCTAGGAGATTGTTCAGTGTCAACGGTCAGGTTTGGTTGGTTGGTGTATATGGTTGTTGGAGGCGCTGCGAGGAGTAGGACAGTCAAGGTGACGCATTTTAGGGTTAACGGTTTCAGACACTGCTCGTTCAGAATCTCACTGTAATTCTGCTGGCTTCATTTCTCCCTTGTCGTTTGTGCCATTGTCCCGGTGCAGGGAAGCACTGGATCAAGGCCATGCTGTTGACGGCGTCGCTATTCCCCTTCACGTGCTTCGGCATCGGCTTCATTCTCAACACCGTTGCCATTGTCTACCACTCGCTCGCTGCCATTCCCTTCGGCACAATGGTCAGTGCTGTTGCTGTCATCCCCATTTTCATTCGCATTCCCGTTGGCGTTCCCATTCCCATTCCCGTTCCCCAGTCCACGCTCCCCATTCCCAACTCCCATTCCCATCCCCATTTGCCCCGATCCCACTCTGAGCAACACTGCTCCAGCCATGTGTAGTATGTGGTCTTGATATCATTCCCATTGCCCATCCCTCTTTCCCCCTCTCTCCACCCATCCCCCACACCCTTCTCTCCCACTCCGTCCGCTTCTCTTCTGTCCGTGTGAACGTTTACATCTATGCCCCTGGGATCCAGTTCCGTTCACCCCGTGCTGTTTCTATGCATACTACACAGTTTTTTTTTCATTTATGTGCTTAGCTCTCCTCTTCAATCCCCTAACCCCCTACCACCATCATGGTACGCAAGTGGAGCGGCACCCC